TGCTCATGAAGTTGTCAATCCTCTGATTCCAGGCTCTTGGAGCCTGTTTAAGTCCATAGATAGCCTTTTTCAACTTGTACACCATGTTTTGATGCTCTTTATTTTCAAAACCTTGTGGTTGCACCACATACACCTCCTCTTCAAGCTTTCCATTCAAAAAAGCTGATTTTACATCCAATTAATGTAATGACCAATGCAAATGTGTTGCCAATGAAAACACAAGTCTTATTGTTTCAATTATGGCCACAGGTGCATATACTTCACTAAAATCAACTCCAGCCTTCTGCAAAAATCCCTTGGCCACTAATCTGGCTTTATGTCTGACAACAACATCTTGAGGATTCACTTTTGTCTTGTACACCCACTTTAAGGCTATTGGTTTCTTACCAGTAGGTAACTCGGTTAATTCCCAAGTTTGATTCTTCTCAATAGACATAATCTCCTCTTGCATTGCCTTCCAGCAACTCTCACTCTTAGTAGCTTGTTCAAAATTAATGGGCTCAGCTTCATCTATTAAAGCATAATGAACAAAGTTACCTTTAGAAGTGACAGTAGCATCATAGCACATCTCATAATCTCTCAAATGAGGTGGCAACTGGTAGTTCTTGATGATCTCCTCAAACTTACATTCTGAGCATCAGAATCTGTGTGAACTGTTGTAGACTCATCAATCACAAATTCATCATCATCAAGTAAAACCTTAGAACTTTCTTGCTGGGGAGACTTCCAAGTCCAATTAATATTCTCATCAATCACTACATCTCTACTTATAGTGACTTGATTTGTTTCAGGATCATACAACTTATAACCCCCTGTTGAATGATAACCAACGAGTATCAGTGACACTCCTTTATCATCCAATTTTCTCCTCAGCTGGTCTGGTATATGCTTGTAGCACACTGCACCAAAAACTCTCAAATGATCAACACTTGGTTTAACTTTAGCCCATGCTTCTTCTGGTGTTACTTCCCTCAACCTTTTAGTGGGAGTTCTATTCAAAATATATGTAGCTGTTATCACAGCCTCACCCCATAAAAATTTAGGCAAACATTTGCTTTTCAACATGCATCTTACCATATTCAAGATGGTTCTATTTTTCCTCTCTGTTGTTCCATTGTGCTCTGGTGTGTATGGTGGAGTAATTTCATGAATTATTCCTTCACTTTCACAAAACTTGTTAAACTCAATTGAAGTGTACTCCCCTCCTCCATCTGTTCTTAGAACTTTTAACCTTTTATCACTTTGCTTCTCAGCTATGTTTTTGAATTTCTTGAACACTTCAAGTACTTTAGTCTTCCTCTTGATCAAGTATGTCCAAGTCTTCCTAGTCCAATCATCAATGAACAACACGAAATACTTGCTTCCACCGGGTGTTTCAGTTTGCATTGAGCCACACACATATGAGTATATTACTTCTAACCTTTCTGCTGTCTTTTGAGGTAGAACATGTTGAAAACTGCCTCTGGTTTGCTTACACTGAATACACTCTTTACACACAGTGTTAGGGACATTAATATGTGGTAAGCCATTAACCATTGTACGTTGACTTAACCTGGATAAATCTCTGAAATTTAAGTGCCCAAATCGCAAATGTCACAGCCACTCTTTCTCACTTTTTGACATTGCAAAACATTGGTAGTTTACAGCATTCATCACGACACGAAAAGTCCTATTCTGAGACAATTTGCTTCTATGATCAGTTTCTTATTCTAATAAAAAATATTGAGACAATTATTTTCCATTTTCATCAGAAAACCTTTTTGCAAAAGCTGACAAAGACTTAGTAGATTTGTTTTTAATCCAGGCACGTATAATACTTCATCAATCACTACTTCTTTTCCATCATTACTTTGAAGCATCACTCTGCCAGACCCTTCTGCAATTAAACTTCTATCATCAGCAAATCGAATTTTCCCATGAGTAACCTCTTGCATTTTTACAAACCACTCCTTTCTTCCAGTCATATGAGTTGAACATCCAGAGTCTAGGTACCATGATACATCTTCTGGCTCATCTGCATTCGTTCTTGCCATCAACATCACAGTTTCAGAATCTGATGTGTCATCTTGTGCTAAGTGTGCTTGATTTTTCGGCCTGTTCTTTGCACCTTCTCCTTTCCAACATTCTTTGGCAAAATGACCAAATTTTTGATAGTTATAACACTTTACCTTCTTCTTGTCAAACTTCTATTCCTTTTCTCCATCAGAATTGGCGCAAGATTTGTAGTTCTTGCGTTCAAAAGTCTCATCAGAATCTTCATCTTTTTGTTCTTGTGATTCTTTGTACTTGGTGTTACTCTTGCTATTAGTTTTGAATCCTTTTCCCTTCCCTTTGTACTGGGATCGTGCCTGAAGTGTCTGTTCTTGATAGTGCATGCGCTCACTCATACGATACTCATGTGCCTCCAATGAATGTTGCAACTCCTCAACCTCCATAGTTTCCAGATCTTTAGTTTCTTCAATGGTTATCACCATATGATCAAATTTTGAGGAAGGGATCTCAATATTTTGTTTACCACATGCTGATCTGGAATTTTATCATTACATGAATTCATAGCATTTACTAACTCTTGAACTTTATCAAAATACTCTGCAATAGTTTCATTTTCCTCCATTACAAGAAATTCAAACCTTCTTCTTAGTGCTTGCAGCTTGACTTTCTTGTGTTTGTTTCCATCACCATATGTTTTTGTCAGAATTGTCCATGCTTCCTTTGCAGTCTTAACTTTGGAAATCTTATTAAAGATCTTTGAATCAACACATTGATACAACAAAAATCTGGCTTTGCTGTCCAGTTTATGCCGCACTTTATAATTCTTCTTCTCTTCATCTGTTGCTTTGTCATCTGGTTTCGTAAGACCACTTTCTATCACCTCTGTAACATCCTGGAAACCAAAAACAACCAACATCTTGATCTTCCAATCTTCAAACATCTTGCCATCAAATATTGGCAAGTCTCCCTGTATTATACTTCCCATTCCAGCCATATTTACCACAAACTTTCTTGACACCAATACCAACTGTGAGGTTCTTCTACCACTCTCTTGGAACAACTTTTAAGAAATCACTTTAACTTTCTTAGGTTTTGTGACAACCTAGCTCTTGATACCATAAAGGATTTTAAATAAAAGAATTGCAAGAAAAGATAATACATTTTATTAACCTTTTACTGATGTATATATACACCACAGAACTAAAACAGAAACATTTTTATTTTTCTGTTTTGGCTTAACTACCCACACTAACATTCATCACTATATAGATTTTATTATGGGGCATAGTATAATGAAATATTTGTTTAATAATCAAATTTTAAGTAATGTGACTTGAACTAGCTTGCTTTATTTTTGTAACCATACACAAGTAATAAATCACGATGAAAATTTGTGTGTCATCTGTATAAGATTTTTGTGCAAACTGAGAGCATCTTGTTGTGAGAGAGATGCAACTAGTCAAGAAGCTGCTTTCACTGTTGGAGTAGGTTTTGGTAAAATGAAAACTAAGATTATTGCTAGTAAAACGAAGTCTTACACAGCATTCATACACAATTGAGTGTGACTTAGTTAGTAACCCATGTTGAAACTTTGATTCTGCCAAACATATCTTAAAGGGGAAGGTGGAGCTTCAGTATAATCAAGCAACAAAATAAAAATCAATTCCACAACTGACCTAAAAGATTGAAGCTTGTGCGAGAAGTAAAGGCCAAAAATGAAGGAACTTCGACCGCACTTTGTACCCTACCAAGTTTTGGTACTCACATGATTTTCTTGTTAGGCATGTTGCTTTAGTTAGGTTTTTTTTTTTTTTTTTTCCATCTCTTTTAATTCAAAGTTGTCTCTGGGTATCAATGAATCCTTCTCAGTATTTCCTTAAAGCCTAAATTATTTAACTCAAGTTAATCCTAATCATTAAAACCTCTAGAAGAATCTAGTAAAACTTCTACATAATAAACGTATTTAAGCTTGAAGCTTCACTTAGATCTATATATTCCTGTAATTCTTTCACCAAATTGTCCATATACAGAAACTAGCGGCTTTTTTACATAACAGATTAAAAAAAATATATTTTTTGGGATAAGGTCGAATTTGAAAAAAAATTACAGCGTGAAAGCTAAAATCTTCCTATATAACATAGTTTAGTTGTAATTATTTTTGTTTTTTAAATTGTATTAGGTTGCACGAGTTTCTTTTTAAAATATATATATATATAGTGACTTTTTCTCTAATATTTAATATCCTAGCAGATTTAGGACTAATTGACATTTAACCAGTTCAAAGAAATGTAAGTTCTTCATTTATTTCTTTTATCTACATTGAGTTAAAAATGTTACTTTAGTTAAAAATACTTTAAGATAAGATGCAGTTGATACCTAACACGATTTCTGAAAGAAATTAAAAATAAAAATCAACCTACAACTAAAATCGTGTTAACCACCAAAGTAGTCCCCAATAACATAAAATTTGGTTTTTTTTTTTAACGCTGTTACGTAAAATAGTCGAAACTAGCTTTTCTGCGAGTTGGTCCATGACGAACCTTTTCCTTTCCCTTCTGACAGAGAGCAAGTTCTATTTAAATGAGTATTCCTCACTTGTCAATCAGCATAATATCCAAGTTAAGAGCAAAATCAAAACACATAATATAAAAAGTTTGTGAAGTGTAATGCAAACATTCTTATTCTATTCTAGTCCTAGTAAATAGGCAAGAAATTGAAATTTTTGTCCACATTAACTTTTGGGAATCCCTCGTTCCCTTGTTTTAAGCAAAGATTTATTCTAACACGTGATGAGCTAGGTGGGGCTATCAAAGTGACATAATATCGTTCTCTTGGCCAATGAGTAAGAAACAAAAAAGCAAAGAAATTATTATGCCCACCCTATTTCTGCAGCTTTCTTTCAGAACACAAAAATAGATACCTCCCTTCAAACTTTCCTTCACCATAGACGCACTAATTTCATCCTCACGCTTTTTGGTTTTGCACCATAAATACTAGTAATAGTTGAGATGTTGCTTATCCATAATTTGTCCCTCAATAATCTCCATCAGATGGAAACTGCTATTTCCCTACGCTATTGTCCCTTTCCCTACACCTCCAAAGGATTTCAAGGGGCAGGGTCTGGCAGATTTCATCTCAGGTTTAACCATGCCGCACCTCTTTCTGCCCCTCAATTTTCCACCACCAGATACCCAGTTTCACGTTCAGTTAGGCATGCAAATTGCATATTTGAAAGATTCTCTCAGCCCTCCCACAACGAGGGAAGAGGCAGCAAAATTTTGAGAGGGGTGACAGGAGCTTCTCTTATGCTGGCATGTGTTCTTGGATTGTTTAACTTTAAGATGAATCCTAAACTCACCACAGCTCATGCTCGTTTTTCATATGGTGATCCTAATACATCATATTTTAAGCATGATGAATATAAGGTAGAAGGTCAAGGAAGGTTTGCAGTTAAGTCACTGTTGGAAACAATGACCGATTCAAAAGCTGCAACCATTCAGAACCAGGAAATCCCTACCAAATTTGATGACCGTGGACCTAGCGGATATGATGTTAAAATCCTGAAGGTTTCCTTCTCTTACTATAATAATACTAGTTTGAGATTTTTTTTCTGAATAAAGTGAAACAAGAAAGGTTGATGCTACATTCAAAAATGAAGAAAATAATAATAAGGTCAAAACTAATTTGATAATAACCAATCTCTTTTGATTCAACATGTCTTGCTATTTTGTCATTTTCAGTTGATTGCTATTGGTCAAAGCCAATCTGAGAAGGGACGTAAAGCACTGAAAACACTGATAGACCAATACGGTGAGTGCATGAACAAGAACCCAGAGGCAGAAGGGTACCTTGCCGTGGCTCTGGTAGAAGTTTACTTTTTTCAGGTATGAACTAAAGAGAAACTAATTAACACACTTTTCCATTCACTTTGTTATTAACTGAAAATTTTAGAATTATCATTCTTACCACTTCTTGTTTGCTGAATTTACTCATAATTTTCTATATTTAATCAATGATAAAAATCTTCTTCAATTTTTGTTTTCTTTGCTGAGATAATTTTAGACAGTTGGTATGGTTGTAAGAGAAATTTACGAGTTATGATATAATTATTTTTTTAGTTTCTTTGGATTAATAATTAAATGGGTTTGAGTACAAAAGAAAAAAAGAAAAGAAAAAACAACCAGGAAAAAGGAATCCTTTAATTAAGCAAACTAAAACTTATTAATTTTTCAGAGTGGATTTATCTAGAAATAGGTGATCATATTTAATCTTCATACAAATTATTCTTTAATATTATTCTCTCGAGATTTAATATAAACAATAAAAATTGATAAATTTTAAAATAAATAGATTTTAATTAATTTTATTCTATTTAATCTAAAAGATATATTTTAATTATTTAAAATTATATTCTAAATAATATTTTTTTTATTTCAATATCAAGTTTAATTATAAGAGTAATGATGTAATCTTAAGAAATAAATTATTTTTAAAATATTTTATTATTAAAATTAAATGATGTTAACTATTTTTTTAATTATTACGAAAATTAGTAATTTGTTTATCCGTAAGTAAAAAATATATTGTAATCAAGAATGGCCTATGAGAAAGTTGTGCTCGCCAATTTTTTTATTGATTATTTATATGAATTTTTTAATGTTAATTTTATATTCCAATTATATTTTTATATTTAGTTATTTAAAAACATTTTACATAGCGAAAAATAAAAGTAGAAAGTATATATGTAAAAAAATTAAACTGTTTTTAATATAAATAAATCTATTCCGTATAATTTTTAACTATAAATTTTATGTTAAGTGAATAAAATAAATAAATTAGGCAATTATTTTCATCAACATTTTTAACAGAAAAAAATATAAAATATAAAGTGAAATACATTTCTTTACTATTTAAAATATTTTATATATAAGTTTATAGAAATGTCTTCATATAGTTTATCTGAATTATAAATTTTAATTTATACATAAGTTAATATAAACCTTTTTATTATTATTATTATTATATATATTATGATTTTAGTGGATAAATTACAGTACTTTATTATTGAGAAATAAAAGATTGAGAAGCTAAAACTATTGTTATTTTATTATTAAAGAGGAGTTGGATCTTTAAGAAAAATTAGTTGTTCATATATCACTTTCTTTTTATTATTGTATGATAAATTTTAAATATTTGCATAAAAAAATATTAAAATAGTTTGAATGGTACTTGATTATGCAGAATAACTTGGAAGATGCGCGTAAAATCCTTGAGCAGCAAATTGATGCACTTCTTCGAACTAAGAAGACAGAGGTTAATTAATTAGTCATTTTCATCCCTAATACAAACATATGCATACCCACTCAAATTTTATATTTTAGTCATATTATTTATTTATTTATTTATTTTTACTTAAGTAATTAATTTTATTTTTTTAATTCTATCCATCTCAGAAGTGTGATGAACTATTGAAACTGTACCATTCTGATGAGTGTGGACACCCTAAACTGTGGATAGCTCAACTAATACTTCACAAGGTTAGTGATCTGCATAATCTAATTACACACATATCTAACACTTGCATGATTTTGATGATTGATTCTTAAATAACATTATTATTACTAATGAATATGAAAAGGGGAAAGATAAAAAAAAAAAAAGTAAATTTATATTTAATGATTCTTTGCAAATACAAATAAACTTAGAAGATGAATTAATTCCTTCAAAGTTAGAACTAGTTTTCTTTAACATGAATTGGTTGAAAATAAATTTCACCAAAAGTGATGATGAATGAGGATTAATTGCAGGCCATTGTTCACACCATGTTGGAAGACAAGGAAGGATCAAGATGGAGGAAAGGTAGTCATGAAGCAGCGAAATGGCGAAAAGCATTCTTCCAAATATTTTGATGTATAATTCCACCTAAAATATACACTACTTTGCAGAAAGAATTTGTCAAAATTATTGAGTGTGGGACATATTTTTTTATAAACAGTTCACAATCTATTCAAAATTTCAAGTAATTTGCCTCTAATTTAATATTGTGCAATCATTCACTTTGTTACATTACTATTAACAAACACACTACTGCAAAAAAGGCTTTTTACATCGGTTAAAATGGGCTTTCTACGTCGGTTAAAGCGGCGACATAGATACAGGGGTCATAGAAAGTAAGCATTTCTACGTCGGTTCCTAAGAACCGACGTAGAAAGTAAGACTTTCTACGTCGGTTTCTAAGAACCGACGTAGAAAGTAAATTCAAACTCTCTCTCGACGATCCAGACGCGTCTCTCTCGTCGTGGAACTCAAGGGACGCCACCCCTTGCAACTGGTATGGAGTGACCTGTGCCGGCGACGCTTCGAACACCACTGTAACAACATTGGACCTGTCGGACACCAACATCGGAGGCCCATTCCTCGCCAACGTTCTCTGTCGTCTCCCCAACCTCCTTTCCATAAACCTCTTAAACAACTCCATCAACCAAACGCTCCCGCTCGACATCTCCCTCTGCCGCAATCTCCGCCACCTCGACCTCTCCCAGAACCTCCTCACCGGTCTCCTCCCTGCCATGCTCCCGCTCCTCCCCAACCTCCGCTACCTCGACCACACCGGCAACAACTTCTCCGGCCCCATCCCGGACTCCTTCAGAACCTTCCAGAACCTCCAAGTCCTCTCCCTCGTCTCCAATCTTCTAGAAGGCACCATCCCCCCTCCTTGGGCAATGTATCCTCTTTGAAAATGCTCAACCTCTCTTACAACCCCTTCTTCCCGGGTTGGATCCCTCCAAAGCTTGGGAACCTTACCAACCTCGAGGGTCTCTGGCTTACCCAATGCAACCTCGTTGGCGTCATTCCAACTTCTCTCGGGAACCTCAACAAACTGCAGGACCTCGACCTCGCACTCGTTATTAATATCAGGGTGCGGAAAACCTGGGATAGTTAGAGGAATATTTGACATGTTACCTCGTGATGAGCCAACTCTGTTGATGTTAATGTTTCTAGAATGCACCGTAACGAGCAGAGCTGGGTGGGGAGAAACGTACAAAGGTGATCACGTTCGTAGAAGAGACAGAGAGAACGGGGAGCTCTGCTATGGGTGAAGTGATGAAATGGAACGCCGAAACAGGTGTAAAACAGAAGATACTATGTCAGTTGTCCTAACACCCGTCATCAAATACACTTTCTATGTCGGGTAAATTTTAAACGACATAGAAAGTTCACTTTCTATGTCGGTTAAGTTTTACCCGACATAAAAAGTGAACTTTCCACTTACCATGTCGGTTACCTATTACCTGACATAAAAAATTTATGATTTTATTACAAAATTGCCACCGCGCTACATACTATGACGGGTGGATTACGACCGTGATAAAAACTCATCATAGAATGTTATTTTTCCACTAGTTAACGTATCATGTTTTAGACAATCCACAGGATTAGTGAGATTTTTATATGATATGAATACAAGTTAACACCACTATTTTATAAAGAATAGAGTTTATACACTTATTCAATTTGTTGGCCAACCTGTACAATGATTTGGGCTTAGAGTTAAGTTTGTTTTACATGTTTCTTACGATTAATAGTGATTTTAAGATTCTCCATTTTTGTTTTTACTCTTTTAAAACCATTTAGGTAAACATAATTTCTTATAACTTTAACATAATCATTTATGTTAATTGTAGACCCCTAATTTTGTCCGGCTTCTCAATAAAAGCTAGGGAAACTTCACACGAAGATAAAGATCGCTCAGCTAATCAATAAACACTAAGAAGACCTCCCACAACCACACGGAGTTCATCCAATTTCTCGATAAAGGCCAAAGAGACCTCCTATAACAGAGATAAAAGTTCGTCCGTCATCTCAATAAGGGTCGAGAAGACTTCCTATAAGAAGATCAAGCTTCAACGGACACCTATCGACATCAACCAACGTCCGAAAAAAGCAAGGAAAGCTTCCCGGGGTCCCAGAACGCAAAAACTGGACAAACCAGGTCGAGACCACCGTCCCAACTATCCTGGGACAAGTGAGACGCGCGTCCCAAATGTGGGACGGCCGTCCTAACCCAGACGGCCGTCCCGGCCCAGACGGCCGTCCCAAATGTGCCAGGCAGCGAAAACTATAAATAGGAGGCTCATTTGCTCATTTTTGACACCTCAGACACTCCAGACAACTCAGAGCACTTGTCTACTTCTCTCTCTCTTTCTAATGATCTTTCTGATTGCCTTAAAGAGGTAACAATCAGTTAAGGAATTATATTCCGGCATTCGATTCTTCTAGAAAATTTTAGTCGAGTCGAGTTTTGTCGTGAGGAGAGTCATTGTAGAGTGAGGGACTGCCGAAACGCGTCCTTTTTGTAAAAGAGTTGCTATATAAAAGCTTGCTACAGAGGTTCTTCTCAAATCTCTCCTCTTTTACTGCTTTATTTATTGCTTTATGAAATGTAAATAAAATCATGTAGATAGCCATATTTATTGTACGAATAAAATAGGGTAATAGCGTAATTTCTTGTAATCTCTACTTAAATGAATTAATCCGTCATAGGGAACCCGAAAGGGGCATTGTGGGGTGCTAATACCTTCCCCACACGTAACTAACTCCCTTACCCAACTCTGGTTATAATGGCCAAGTGCGGTTTTTCTTAAAATCAACATTTTTTCCTTTTCCAATGTTTGAGGTCAAAACATTGGTGGCGACTCCAAAAGAACCCCTTTTTCGAAAACCTTGCTTCTATTAGAGGATAGTTCAGTTGTTGAGCACCTCGGAAGCAATGAACATATTTTAAATACAAAACGCGAGTCTAAACCATCTTTCCGCAACCGCTCGCATAAACGTTCGAGATGTCCCTGGACATCGGAACGGACGGCGGCGACAGATGGCGACTCCACTAGGGAAGCTAGAGAGTTGATCTCATTTAGTGACGGATAAATTCAAACTAAGTAAAGATTTGAAATTACACCTTTACCCTTTTCCGTATGTTTTATTGTATGGCTTTAATAATTGTTGTATGATTATTTTCTGCAAATTGTTTGAAATATAAATTGCACACAAAAACCCTTGCACACAACAATCCCTCTATACCCGGGGGCAAGAGTGAATACCTATAGGGAGTGGGTGGCAGATACGACCGGCTTGTTGGCACACGGGGCTACAACCGTTGTCGGAAACCACCAACTCAAGGTGATAACTCTCTTCTTTTGGTCTAAGGATGTCGACACGGAGTTCCGTGCATGACTCGAGGACTGAGAGATTGAGAGGTCCCTATAATGGGGGCACCTTGGGGACCTTTGGCCTTGGTGAGAACAGTTTAGAACCACCCAAACCAAGCACGTTTCTGCAGGAAAACCCTACCTCGTGATTAAATAAGTGTGGCTCTGCTCGTGGATGTATGAATTGTGTGTGCATTCGTTTGCTACATTGATGCATTAGCATAGGGTAATCATACAACAAACAAAATAATGAAAAACCCTAAAAACCATAAAAGTGATAAGATAAACCACCTTTATCTCGGACAGTCTTCAGTTAAGCTAGCCTGGTTTCAGGTTCTTTGTAAGCTAAGTAGCCACGTTGACCGACAGAAGAGATAAAGGGTCATAAAAAATATAAAAACAATTGAAAGCCATAAAAATTCCTTTTTACAGTAAAAAGATTCTTGGCAAAGTCGTATCATTCATACCGCATCATCCAATAAGTGGTAAAACTAAGAATGCACTAAGAAAAGTATGCATGCACATCATTTTAATAAACCTCCAAAAAATAGGTCTTAGGAGCGTTTTTTGGGAAAATTACTGGGCCAAACCCCCTTCGGGTATTTGCAGCCTTGTTCTTCACCCTTTTCTCTTCGTTTTGACATGCTGTGCGTCCAAATCGGACAACCCAGTCAAAAGTTATTCCACTTTCAATATATGCTGTCATAAAAAATATTTTTGTAGTGCATGCATAAATACATTCATTCTAGGATGCATTAGATATCCTTAGACAATAGCGAAAGAGACCCAAGTGCGTTTATCACCTTCCTAGAAGAGATAAGTGCGCTAAGGTATGTTGGCAACCTTTAAAAAAAAAAAAAAGGAAGTTAGCACATTAAGGTGGGTATGGTACCCTTAAAACATAGGCTTTTGAGAAGGTACCAAAGCTATTGTCTAAGACATATCTATTTCACACTGATCATTCATAATAATAAAAAAGATATAATAATAAAAATCTTTAAATTATTTAGAAAGTGGCTGGTCTTCTGCCCGTCCTCACTCGTGCTCAGAAAGCTAAAAAGATGGAATAGCTAGAGGAGCAAAATTGAAAGCTCACCACTGAGCTTAATACGCTGAAAGAGCAAATGGCTCAGATGTTAGAAATGATGCGTCAGCAAAATCTTCATAAGAAGGGTCTCCAGAGTGGACAAGTCTCTCATCAAGAAGAAGAAGAGGAACCTCACGATGAACACGCCCAGTCTGATACAAGGGCAGTACATATTCATGCCCCGGAAATATCAAAACAACAAATTACTGCCCTTGAAGAGAGGCTGAGAGCCATGGAGGGGCATAACTTTGATGTTAAAGAGGCGACTAATATGTGCCTCGTTAAAAACATCCAATTCCCCAACAAATTCAAAACTCCGGACTTCCCAAAATACATGGGAATAACTTGCCCCAAAAGTCATCTTACGATGTACTGCCGTAAGATGGTTGCATAAGCTGACAACGAGAAGCTCCTGATCCATTGCTTTCAGGAGAGCTTAGCTGAATCAGCCCTAAACTGGTATATGCAATTACAAGGAGGGCAAGTCCAAACATGGAGACATCTGGCAGATGCTTTTCTTCGTCGCTATAAATACAATATTGATCTGACCCCTGAAAGAGCAGATCTACAATTGCTAAGCAAGAAAAACGATGAATCCTTCAAAGCATATGCC